GATTCTGTAATTTCCACCAGGTAGATCATTCTATGCCTTCTATGGTCTACATCTCTATCTGCTGTTATGAAATTCCATGAGTATATGATTCTGTAATTTCCACCAGGTAGATCATTCTATGCCTTCTATTCTATCTCTATCCTGTTATGAAATTCCATGAGTATATGATTCTGTAATTTCCACCAGGTAGATCATTCTATGCCTTCTATGGTCTACATCTCTGTCTGCTGTTATGAAATTCCATGAGTATATGATTCTGTAATTTCCACCAGGTAGATCATTCTATGCCTTCTATGGTCTACATCTCTGTCTGCTGTTATGAAATTCCATGAGTATATGATTCTGTAATTTCCACCAGGTAGATCATTCTATGCCTTCTATGGTCTACATCTCTGTCTGCTGTTATGAAATTCCATGAGTATATGATTCTGTAATTTCCACCAGGTAGATCATTCTATGCCTTCTATGGTCTACATCTCTGTCTGCTGTTATGAAATTCCATGAGTATATGATTCTGTAATTTCCACCAGGTAGATCATTCTATGCCTTCTATGGTCTACATCTCTGTCTGCTGTTATGAAATTCCATGAGTATATGATTCTGTCTATCTGCTGTTATGAAATTCCATGAGTATATGATTCTGTAATTTCCACCAGGTAGATCATTCTATGCCTTCTATGGTCTACATCTCTATCTGCTCTTATGGAATTCCACAGACTTAATCACTTTATGACTATTTTGAATCTGTGTTAAGACTGTGCTGGACATATCTGTGTTCACTTAAGAACCACTAGCCTACAGCCATGCACCACTCTGCTCAGGCTGTTAATCTGGGCTGGTAATAGCCCAAGAGAAGCTATTTTTGAAATCTTGCCCATAGATCAGTGGGGTTTAGTCGACTTTGTCTTTCCTACAGACGTCATAAATCTGGACTTGACATGAGTGAAAGTTAACTATGACATAAGATCTTTGTAGGATGTGTTTGGATATTAACTACATTGTAGATATTATGATCAATGGTATTTTGAAAACAGACTTATCTTGATTTGGGATTAATTATCCCCCGTTGCGCATTTAGCGCGAAGCGGGGGATATAGTATTAGGCTTTGTCCATCCGTACGAATTGGAATATCTTAAGAACCGTTCTCTAGATTCTTTTCATCTTTGGTACCTTCACTTAATTTTCAAGGTCACAGCGACACTTTGAAGATTTCAGCATGTTAGCCTGAATTGTCAGCAAGATATTTCAAGACTTCCCTTAAATGTTTTTCAATAAGCAATTTCTTTAGTACTATTTTTGCATATTTCATACACTATGACATTCATGTCAAGGTCGAAGTCAGTCTTGAAAATATGTGTGTGTTTGAACACCTAAAGAGCAAGATATCAAGAGAGGTTGACTGGTCATGTTTTTGTTGACATTTAACTTAAACTTTCATTACTCTATAAGTTTGATTTGGTAATTTGCGGCTGGGGATTATGTCACCTTAGTGACAATGCTTGTTGTTTTAAAAATACTTTTCACATCAGTTGTACAGTTCCCTTTTAAAAACTTTATATTTGTTATGTCTGGTATGCACAAAGCCCCCTGGTGTTTTCAGAGTATTGGTATCAACAGGTCTGTGCTGTATTTCCCCTCCTCCCGGTCTTCTGTATCTTTTAATCATTAAAGTCCCTCCTTGTGAAATTTGATAGTTAATGGGCAAATCTAATGGCACTGAACAGTTCCTTCCTTCTTTGAAGTAGAACTGAATAGCTGGGGGCATTATCTTTGGAAATCTTTGGTGAAGGCTGATTTTAGAAATGGTGATTTGGAGTTTGATTGTTATCTACACCCAGACTGAAATATGTGTAGCTGCAGTTAGTGTGAACTAAGGGGGGTAGGGGGCAGGGGGTAGCAGCAGGTAGTGGTTGGGATGATAGGGGGTAGCTGGAGTTCATGGGGATTTTGGAGGAGGTGGGGTGTGAATTGTTTTTCGAGTAGCAGAATTGAGGCTTTGATACACTGAATCAAGCAGGGGACAAGTCCAAACTGCTACCTATTAATTAATATATCTGTGAGTATTAAATTGACATCTGGAGGAGTCTGTCCTACATGCACATTTGTTCTAAGATTATTATTGGAATAATTTTTGTTGACCAGCCAAATATGCCTTGATGATATTGCAATCTTGATTCCTTGATGTGTATGACATTTACGCTTAGTTTCTGAATATTTGTGATTTTGATAGAAACAAATAATTCCTTTCAAATTGAAAAGATGCCCCGGTAAGAAGGGAAATTCAGAACCTGTGCAAATCTAGACTTGCTTCATTTAGAGTTTTAGAATTGCAGAAAGGGCTCAACAGAAAGGAAAATAGTGTGATTCAGGGACTGTGAGACAGACTATAGTATATAAGTGTGTATTGACACTGAATGTAGTTCTGAGGTCAGGGAACTGTGGTGACACTTACCTACAAGAATGTCTACCGATAAGTCTGTCTAGATGAAGTTCAGTAGCCACAAGGGTGACAGCTTAGGCAAAACTCTGATGGTAGATCTGGTAGGAAGCCCTTCAACACTGGGAGAAGATCCTTGACAAGGATACCCCCTTGGGGGCCAGTTGGTGCACTTCCATCAACAATAACTTGATAAGACTTACAGAAATGCTTTTGAAATTTGCTGATCGTAAATACACCATATAGTCCATATCTGTCCTTATCTGTACAAAGTCTGGGGAATACTGAGTGATTTATTGCATTTAGGTTTGGCTTTGATATGTTGAGCTTGAGAACTCCTGATCAGCTGCAGTAGTGTGGAAAATAGGTTTAAAGTTTAGCGTTATTGTCAATTCTTGAAGATCATTACAAAATGAATTTTACAACTGTTTAGACAGAAATTTAGGAACAAATTAAACTTTCAATAGTTGTAACTTGGTTTTTGAATTTCAGAAAGTTTTTGCGATGTTAATTTAAGTATTTGATACCTTATGTTACTTTTTTTTTTCTAAATTTTTTTATTTGCACATTTTTCAGATCACATGTCACATATAATCATCAAAAAGGTTGACAAATGCATGCTTTTAACACCTTCCTGTAAAAAAGGGTTATGTATTTATGTGAAGAAGCTAACCATGCCGTATGTTTTGATTTCATGTTTTCTGATTATACAATGGAGTGCAAATTGAATAATTATGACAGTTTGGGTTATGACTGACATAAACCTGTATAAGCCAATACATATTAATAGACTGGGTGACAAATCTAATAACATGATTACATCATGAATTCCATTCCCTGGCTTATATAGGTCAAACAGTGTACTGTACATGTAAAATATATTCCTGTGTTTGCTGAAGTCATGATGGCATCCCATGGATTTGAAGTGTAGGAAGGCCTCCAGCATTAGAGAGTATTAGGTATTGGGTGGACACAATGTAAGCAAATTATGGCTGGTATCCAGCATAGGAATGGTTATCTGTATGTTGGTAGGTCATGGGCAAATGGTTAAACCATTGTGCTGAAGAAACTGAAGTTTGAACCCCATGTGGGTACAGTGTATCAAGCCCTTTTCTTTTGCTGCTTGCTGTAATGTTAGTAAAATATTGTTGAGGTGGCATAAAACAATATACACTCTGGGGATTCAGGTTTAGAAGTATTTTTAAGTGATTTGGATTCCTTACACCAAGCAGTTCAACTATATCTGAAGTTGCTATTCTTGTCACGATGTGGTTGATATATTACCAGTGATGTACATTGTTTGACGATCACTCATCACAGTTCCAGTACAGGTATGGGCTAACAATTACTCTTTTAGGCATGGCCTAGCAATTAGTATATCTGAGATAGTGCTGTGATATTGCTAACTAGAACCCATACTCTCACTCACTCACTCACTCACTCACTCACTCACTCACTCACTCTGTAACACGTTGAATGAGTGTATGAGGCAGTGTTGATTATGCTTGTTAGAAAGCCTTACCTCCCTTAACATGATGTTCCCGTTTACCGGCAGTACGACAGAACTCCTGTGGCCTACACAAGTCTTGGCACGTAAACAATATCTGTTTTTCATAATGGTGTTGAGATGAATGATGAGCATGTACCGATAACAAACCTGGAATAGCTTTCACTTGGACAAAGTCGCTATTTTCTTTCCAATATGTCTATAGACCTTGTGATTTAATGATCAGGCAGGTGTTGGATTAGATATCCCGCTGTTGTAATGATGCAATCGGATTACTGGGTCTACGGTCCTTACTGCAAAATGATCACATATGTCGTCAAATAATTGAGTGTGACCTTCAGGTTTCGACACACATTTTCAGTGTGACCTTGGTAGCCCTGCACTGTGGTGACACATTATCCAAGTCGTATTGTCTAACTCTGATCCAGTTTATCAACCTGTAGAGAAATATGTACAGGAACAAACAGATGATTTTGTTGCTTAATTATCAAAATTTGATTGTATTTCAACAATTTGTTATAATAATAATAAATGCATATTTATAATGCGCCCCTTCCACACCCTAAGGCATGCTCAAAGCGCTACAGAATATTTACACTGGAGTATTTACAGATGAAGTTATACATAATGTACTGAGAAAAGGTGGGTTTTAAGTCTGGACTTAAAAATGTCAATTGTGGCAGAGCTTTTAAGGGCACATGGGAGAGAGTTCCAAAGCACAGGCGCGGAGTAAGAGAATGATCGGTGTCCGAAGGATTTCAGTTTGTAGGATGGGATGACCAGTCGGTTTTGTGTGTTGGAGCGCAAGTTGCGTGCGGGGACATACGGATGTAGGAGTTCAGACAAGTAGGAGGGAGCCAAACGTTCTTTTCCTATGATGTCTGTAGTAATTATTTTTGCCATTTTTGCCATTTACTATTATAATGTATATTTTTTAATTTTCCCTAAAGGGTTGCTTTTCAAAACATGAAGATATCCAATACTTTAATAACATTTTCAAGTTATTTGTATGTGAGGTGCATTTATAATAAATTTTTGTTATATTAATATTTCAGTTCGCCGTGTCCCGCCTCACTTTTCAATACCTCCAGAAGACATCAAGGTTATGCCCGGCTCGGACGTCAACCTCACCTGTGTGGCTGTCGGCTCGCCCATGCCGTTTGTAAAATGGCGGGAAGGTGCCCGGGAACTCACAGATGAAGATGACCTGCCCATCGGTAGGAACATCTTGCAACTGAAGGATGTCCGCAAGTCCAAGAACTACACCTGCATTGCATCATCGGACCTCGGGAACATCGAGGCCATGGCACGAGTGGTTGTGGAAGGTAAGATTGTGTTTAGTGTGCTGTGGACGCTTAAAACACTTGATGATAATTTGGTGACACTTGTGATGGCATCGCAGTCAATGAAGAAAATATCCAAAATAATCAATAATTCAGGATGTAAAATTCATTCAAATCTTCCAAAAATTATAACTTGCATCCTTTGATGTTGGAAGTGTTTACAAAGTGTTGTTGTACATATCAGTCTTGATGGACAAGTGTTCCGAAATTTTGATGCCATTATTCCACAGTGTTATTCAAATATTTACCAAGTGTGTAAACACCCCTTTAACTGCATTACCGTCTAATACAATGATCCCTGGAACATGAATACTGTGCATGTAAATACGAGTTATATATGTTAATAAATATCCTAGCATTGAGCCTGTGTGGACCCTCATTAACTTTGATACAAGTAAGCACTGAAGTGGAAGAATAATGTGTGATACCGATGTTCAGTTTATAAACGACTGTCTAATATCATTGTACCCTCATTTGTCATCATTTGGATTTCCGTTTCACTGCTTGTTAATGACAAAAATATATTTCCTGTTTCTATTTGAAAATATTCCTGATACTTTGGGGAAAGTTGTTCCTATATCAAAACCTGGGTATTTTTCAAATGATATCATTTAAATTTATTTTTTAGGAAAATTGTTATAAATTGTAGCTGTATTACACACTAAATGCATTCCTGTAGTGTTATTTCTTGTTTATGTCAAGCATGGTAGGCAGAGGTGTCGTGAAATTTCTGTAGCATGCAGTGAAATTGGACTGTTTGAACTGTGAAATCCAAATGTATTGGGGAGATGTATCTGTTCTGTTTAAATATTTACCACTTATTCCTCATTATTTTCTCTTGGTATGGCTGTGTTGTCATCAGCGCTGCATGATGTGTCATTTTACCAGTGCCCTCACATTCTCGCCATACAAATTATTGATTGACTCAGCCATCGCTTGAACAGATGCATGATCGCAACCCAATTGTTTATAACATATCCATATTTCGTTACTTCCTCAGCTCTTTGGTTTGTAAAATGCTGCCCTTGTTTTGAATCTGAAAGTCCTCTTGGACTACATATTCCTCAAATACCCACCCAGCTTTTATCATTTTTGTTGGCAATGTGTATATGTTGAGTTGGGCTGGAGCATGTTTCCTTGGTAACAATGTAATGGGGGTGGAGTCAGTCTTTGATAGACAGGCCACAACACAGTAGTCCATCCAATGGGCTGGCACTATAGAGAACTTGTAGATTCAGTGCTTACTCTGCCTGTGAGTGAAACTCTAGCCTTCTTGAGATCTGCCCATGGTTTGCACAGCTTGGTACCACCACAATACCGAGTCCATGCAGGATAGTTGTCTATAGCACTATACAGCCGGCCGGCCAGCCCAGCTAGCTGTCTCTCACTCTCACTGTAACAGACGGACAGTTTGCCCATAAGTTACCTGCCCTATACACTTGTCAGCACCAAACTTCCGACTTGGAATGAACTCCTCTGTGTGCATGGTTTGGAATACACATATTTGAGCCTGTAGGCACGGATTACTCACAAGTCATTCACTTTGCCATCAACTTTGGATATTTCTCAGTGGTTTACACGGACACTGCCTTCATGATGGTGTGTTCACCCGCACTGACTCTGGATTAAGAATTTTGTTTTCAAAACGGGATCATTATACTTTGTTTCTCTTTTTGTGTGTTCTCGTACCAAGCCACCGAACGTCACATTATAGGATTATTCTCATTCACCCTCTCTCACTCAAGCTGTGTGTTCTTTTGGCTCGTAGTAGCACATGTGATTTTGCAGTGTTCTCAGTTCGTGACTGATGTAGCCAATAGACATCAGTACGCCTCTAGTTGTTGTTACATGACTTGTTTTTCGCAAGAGTCTCTGATGCTGCAACATCGTGGCTCATTGTTGTGAACACTGGTGCTCTCTGTCGCCACCTCCACTGACACACTGCTGCTGCCACCACTTCTACACAAGGTTGCGTCTGCCGCCCGTCGTCCGTCCAACTGCACTCTGTCTTGGCTATGTTCTAACCACCACAGCTGAAAGTTCCAAGTGGGAGCATGGCGCCTCGAGGTCATTGCCACCACTTTTCTAGCTTAAACATTGAATGTGACTTACTAAAAAGGATTTTAGTATGCTGCCTTGTGTTCTTCCTACCTTACAAGTCTTCCCCCTTTACTACAGCACTACCGAATCCACCATCAGGTCTAGAGGCAACCGATGTTACCGCCACATCGCTCAAATTGTCCTGGGATGCTTTTGCCTCGTCTGGTGATTTGTCCTATATCGTGCAGTACAAACCTGTAAACAAACGTGGAGCCGATTATAAGGAGAAAATGGGTATTGTGAATCCTGTGTATACCGTGGGGCATCTTATGGCCTTCACCAGATATGAATTCCGAGTGATAGCTGTGACCAACATAGGTCGTAGCAGTCCTTCCGACTCTATCGAAGTGTCAACAGGCGAACTAGGTTAGTTTTACCTCCCCATATTGTGTGCTGGCCGCTTTTTATTTGAGATTTTTTATGATTTTTGGTTCTGTTTAGTTGTCATACTCAATTCTTCCTAGCATGTCCACTGCACCCTTTGTAATATTTCAGTTGTCATTATCCCCCTGCTTGACCTTCACCTTAACCGTATCAAGAGTTTGCTTTGTATACATACAGTTTATGTTTCATGATGATTGTGTGATTGTTCGTTTTTACATCACAGTGTGGTTTTATGTTGATTGTGTAATTATTAGTAACTAGATACTCACCATTTTCTTTTCTTTTCAAGTTGTATTTTACAAATTTCGTGATCAAGTTTCTCAACCTTGATGTAGTATCACTTTTAACAAAGACCAACATATGTGCTTGTTTTCAGGGGCAGGTTTTTTAATGTTGATTATACATAGACACATTAAATGTTTCATGTCATAAGGATTTGGACCAATAATGTACCACTCTTCATAAACAGCCGACTGTTGTGGTCACTGTTCAATTTTTATATTCACCCTAATGAAAATATTATTGAACACTCTCATCATTTTTGCATTCATATGATAAACCTAGCAGTCGACATCAAAGGTAGCTCTTAGCCATCTCCCAGAATTGCTAGTCGTGAAAGTCGTATGCATTGCAATTCAGGCAGGTTAATGGCTACTGGGCATAATGTTGACGAATCTAAATGTCAGTAGAATTTTTCTGGGCCCTAATGTCTCGTGTGAAGGTGACCCAAATGAGAGATTGATCTTGTTCACGATATGGCGTCAATTCCACCAAATTAGTGGCCCAGGCAAAGCCAGGGAAGATATGGGATTGGGAAAATGGGAACCTGAGGCTTGAAAGGAACTAGAAACACTCCTTGTCCAGTATTTTTGGAAATTATGCCTGCAAGTTTGTTGATTGACAGGGAAATGAGCCAAAACTTCTGCTATGTTTTTGCCCCTTGGTTCTGAAAAATCAGGGTATTGGTAAATAGGATTCATATGAATGGCCTGAAATATGAATTATATTGTTAGTAATTTTCATATAATATATGTCATTATTGATGTTAATTGTTTAACTCAGTATATCTGACTAATCTATTTGGTTTCATGGAGGTTAGCTTCACACAGCAACATGTCATTATTTCACTGGAAGCAGCAATTAGCTTCATACCATCACCATCAATTATGAAAATTAATCCTAGTCATATTGGTCCGTGAAAGATGAGTATTAATGATTTCTATTGAAGTCAGGTCAGCTGGCTGAACATGGCGTCATTAGCAGGTATCCTGAGTGATTCTACCATTTTCCAGCGTTACAGAACTGTGACAGATGACACTAGCCATTAGTACCAGTCACACTTCATTTACCTCTCCGACAGGCATCACAAGATTAATGGAACATGCAGAAAAAAGGGTGTTTTATGTTAACAGTCATTCATGATCTGCCTGATAAAGTGTAGCCTCCAAGTTCATTTAATCTGACAATTAGAGAATTAGGATGGTCTGAGATCGGTGTCCCTGTAGTCTCATTGTGTCTTCTCTGTTAGACCTGGATTCCATAACGTTTGTTCTGGAGCGAGTTCAAACATATCTGCACGGTACTTGTTACACTCCCAATAGGGTGATTCTCCTAAATTGTATGCTAACATTGGTTACTTTAGTTTTTACTTCATGGCTTTCAGATTTCTAGTGTTACAATATTTGTTTATCTATGGTGAAAGGGTGTTTACCTAATGAATGCATTTACATATAGAGAGAGTGGTAAGAATGTGTTGTTTGTGTGGGTTCAGTGCAGCATGACTGAGACCGTGGCGCCATTATATTCTGCTGAAGAATGTGGCAAAATGGAATGGCCGGTGCCATAGAGTGTGTGGAATAAGTAGAGCTGGCCTTTGTTAAAAGTGTTATACTAACACAATACATGGAGAATAGATGTGTATTAGTTGTGTGATGGCTTTTGTTTAGATTTGAGTTATTCATTGTTTATCGGTGATAAAAGTAGCTGTTGCAGTGGAAGAACTGTTAAATATTAAGTATATTCATTTATGTTAAAGGCTATTTCCAGTTTGTGTGGGCTTATGACGCTTCTGTTCGTTTCCTATCAACATTTCCATCATCGCAGTATCAGCAATTCCAATATTAACATTACAGACATATCATTTTATCATAGCCATATCCCCATATTCCCCAGGTACAACAACTGCTTACCCCCCCTTCTGCCCCTCCCCCAGGGTCCCAAAGCACCCCCTACTGCTCCTGACCCAGGTGGGTGATATCAAAGGATGCTGACCAGTGGTATCCCCTCATCACTCACAGGAGGCTGGGCCCAGCATGTTTATCTCGACTCTCCAGGGGGCTCTTTACAAGGGGGATATTTGTATTCCACTACACCATTTAGGTTATCCTGACAAATATTTCTCTAAGGTATGAAAACAGTAAGATATTGAATTGAAATTATAAATATTCCTTTGCCATAAGTTTCAAATTTTGTCATTTTTACCTGAAGAACTATACATTATTCTACCTATTATGCATCTCAGTGAACTGCACTAAACACCTTATCTGTGACCAAGTTCCTCTTCCACATGTATCATGTCCCTCAGAGCATCCCCCTCTACCTTGGTCCCTCCCATTCCCCAGGTGTTCCTGATCAAGGCCTTCTTGTACCCCACTAGTTGGGAATCTAGGTAATCTTTGCTCCTCAAACTGGGTCTCCCTTCCACATTGTAATCTTGGTGGTAAGGTGATTGACTACTGTATGGCCAGCCTATGATACACAATCAAGAGATGCTAACATTGCTTTGTGGACAAGAATTTGACCTGTCTTATCTTACCATGTTCTCTCATTCTGTCACGATATTAATCTTTTTGGGGATAGCACCAATGGCTAGTCATGCAAAATGACTGGAATTAGTGCCTTTGTAGATCTGAAACCAGTGTAGATGTAAGACATGTCATCTGTACATATATTCCACCCAATGTTCAGAGAAATGTATTGTTTGGTGAAGGTGTTCATGGACTGGTGAGACTCATGCATTCCATTCAGTCCCACACTCTTGTCTTGCAATACCATTGCGTTTTGGATGTTCATTCTTTTCAATTCACTTCCCATGGTTTTAAGAACAAACTCTCTCAGTGTCTTCCCTTTGAACTCCCTAATCAGTAAAGCACTCCTCATGGGGCTATCTTCTCCCAGCCACCGTGATAATCTGACCCAAGTTTATCTGCATCTACTTCCATTGATGTCTTCTCTCTGTCCACCAGTCTGGCCCTCCTCCCTGCCTCCATCATGAAAGGATTATTAGCCCTGACCCCTTGTATCCCCCTCCCCCAGTTTTCTCCCTCCCCTTACTGACCCCAGGGGTTAGACTTAATCATGCTCCTGAGGGACCCTTCACTACAATGCCACATGGCCACTTGGAAGATACACATCTTCCTGTTGTCTTGTTTACCATCTTCAAATTTAACTTGACATTCATCTGATTCAAATTTTGGATGTTTATTCCAGTCTTGACCAAATTTCATCTGGTGGTTTATGAACCTAATTTGTCTCCTGACAGTGACAAATGGCTAGCAGGAATAATGTATGAGGGTGCTGGGGTCATTAATAATTGGCCACCAGGGTTTTAAACTGTTGCTTCCAGACACAGACCAAATGTTTCTTTGACATCTGTAAACAAAACATGAGCTTTATGAAGTTGAGCCAGATTGTGGCCATTTTCAAATAGTTCAATTCCAGCCAACTGTTGGTACTATGATTAGAATTTACGACTCTTTAGGTGGTAAAATCCGAGCCAGGGGTAGTTTTATTTGTTCTTGAGGCGTTTCAGAAGCTCCAACACCATGAATATTTCACCAAACTAAAGAATATGTCTTGTTCTACCCTCGTTAAGTGTGGTGTGAGGGGACTTGATGATGGCCGTTCTTCACCCAGGTGCTTTGGTGCATGATCTACGGCTTGGAGGATCTCAGTCTGAATCTATATTGTCGTACTCTCAAGGTTTACTCAACAATAAAGATTCACCATCAATTAGTTCGTTATAATTGTCACAGGGGATTGGCATTGATTATAGACTGGGATGGCACGGATGACAGTTCCGTGTTACAATTGGCCATTAAGTATGTATATCTAAACCTTACTTTGTAAACCTTTGGTGCTTGTAATTGTTGATATGCTCTAGTAGCAACATAAACAAAGATGGTTCCACTGCTAGGTCTAGGTGTGGTTTGGTAGCTGAGTGGTTAATATATTATCCATGATTAATCGTCATTTCCCTTTATTGGTACAATGCAAATCAGTCTGTTCTCAAATCTCCTGAGTCAATAATCTCGAATTGTCCCTTGAAATTCTTTTCCCCAAGTGTTGATGTCAATTGATGGTCTCTTATCAGTAAAACTTACTGGACCAAATCCGGTTTTGTAGCATTATGGGATCTTCTGGCTATTAGCTGAAATTGCATGCTGCAAAACCTATTCTTGCTGATCCATTGCTTTGCTGTGATATTGTTAAAACATTGCTTAAATTGAACAGTCCAGTGCTAATATTTCTCACTGTTTAAACAACACAACACACCAGATTCATACTGTGTTATTTAAAGTTATAGACTGCCAACAGTTCATTGGCTGTCCATTGTATTTACCTAGTCTCCACGGGTGTATATATGTTTTATGTCCTAATGATATGCTATCAATAATTATCCCATCAATGAAATGCACAATCTCTGAGTGATTCTGGTCTCAGAGTTGCCTTGTAATTTCACCACTTACAGTCCTTGTATTCCTTAGAACGAAAGTAAACATGCCACTGAATTAATCATTTGTCCATAAATGAAGGACTGGCTGGGTTTCCCAAGCTGTATTTATGCCCAAAGTGTAAAGCATTGATCACTTAATTCATAACATGGAGGCATAACAGTGTTAGGTGACTCTTAATGGTGCGAGGGTCGATGATGAGGTAAGAGAGGAGAAATGGATACCTTTGAACTGACTTCTGGAGCATGG